GGCCTTTGGGGTTAAAAATCGCAAAAAAATGTTAGGCATGTATGTAAAGCATAGCTACTGAGAGAGGGTAGAATGGCTGGCACGGGTTTGACCTGGATAAGACGGGACTTGGTACGTTGGTTGACCGGCACGGATGTAAAGAGATGTGAGGACATGTTAAGGATGTTAATTTATGTAAAAGATCCACGCAAGATCAAGATCGGCAAATTGGCACTGGTAGAGGGCAGGGAGGTAGTGGCTAAGGTGGAGGGAATATATCCAATGTATGCATGGAAGGACATATGGGGTCGTTTAAAAGCATTAAGGTTACGAGCCAAGGTCAGGGAGATAATGTTTAAATTTTTACATAATATACTGCCGTCCGGGGAAGTTTTAGCGAATAGGCGCGTGCAGGAGGGGGGCTGTGTTGTGTGTGTGAAGATCCTGATACGGTCTTTCATGCAGTTTATTTCTGTAAGAGATTGGAACACGTAAGGTTGTGGTTTGGTAAGGTGTTAAGAATGGTGGGTGGGGGTGGGTTTAGTGTCTTAAGAGCTTTAAGTTTAGATGTGGGGGGGGGGGGTCGAAACACCGGTACAGAATGCAATCGGATAATTAGTGACGGATTTTGTATATACGTCATGGGTATATAGGCATTTATCTGTGAGGGAGAGAATCAGAGCACTGGTAGCGATATTTTATGGTACACAGCAGAGAAATAAAGACATTACGGGAAACAGATGGTTTTTCTTATTTTCAAAGGGATATTGCAGATTCAAGGTCAGGGATTTATGGGAGTTAATACCTTAAAGGGTACACGAGGCTGGCTTCTTGAATATGTGTGAGTGAAGGTGGCATACGATTGGTATGGGTGTGGTTTAATGTATAATGATAGGTATGTCGTTAGTTTGGATGATGTTTTTTCAAACAAATATATATATACTATTGCTTGGAAACTAATTTTTGTTCTTAAATTGACGTGATTAAGAGAGTGGGTCTCTTGTGAAGCAAACTCATGAACTGCATGACAGGTGTTATGTAAAAGCACCTTGAGCAACTTATATATATAGTTTTTCATTTTATATTTTCCTTGTATCAGGCATGTGGATGATACCTGGTAACGTTCTGTTTGGGGTCTCCTGGGATATATGTTTTGGAATATGACCAGATATGAGGGTAACAATTTTGTATTATGTGTACATAATCTCTCATGTGTGTGTGTATATGTGATAAGAATGTGGTGTGTGTATGTTGCATAATGTTACTTGTTTGGCAATTCAGAATTTTCTCATGCTATTAAGAGGAACCCTTTGTGTAATGTACTGAATATTTTTGTATCTTTGCAGTAATCAAGTAAATTGACTACCAGTTTCACTACATATCGTTCGTTTTTGGATATTTTGTTATATATGCACTTGTTTATGTATTATGTCTTTACAAAGGTTTTATTGACATAAAATCAAATACTTAGGCATATTATTGATGAATAGTTTCTCTTTGTTTATAATGTATATAAGAGGGTTTTAATTAAGGTAACGAAGAATTTGTATATTCTTGTGTTACCTTAGGATAGGTACATAATGAATAGGGGACGGACGAATATTTATAACCGTTCTAGCGTATATATTGACAATTGTAATTATACTTACTATGAATGTAATGATATGTAATCCTTTGATTATTTAATGTATTGTATATTTTTAAATTAAAAAAAAAAAAAAAAAAAAAAAAAAAAAAATTATGTATGGTGAGGGTTTACGATTTTTTCTTTCTGAAAGTTAGGATCTCAATACAATGATGCTGTTATGATGTGGACGATCTTGTTAATGTAAGTTGCTACAGGAAATTCTTTATATCCAATGTTAGAAATAAACTGTTCCTATTTTAAAAATGTACTTATGCACTTGCATTTTGTTTTGAAAGTCGGGGGCATTATAACCTTTACCATTTTAAGTTTTGGGAAAAAGGTACATTGTGTTTTACTTCAATTCTACGGTTGGAAGATTTATACTTTTTGGACAGCATTATAGTTTGGGGTTAGGGTTAATTAAATTTTTTGTGCACTATGTGGTTCTTTTTTTAGTTGTACTTTTCAGATGGGGGGAGGTTCTGTCTGGGGAAGGGGGGGGGTTTAGTTTGCGGGTTACGGTTGAAACACGGGGGGTAACCCCCAGTGCTCTTTTGAGTTTTACCTTAACGTTAAGTATAGTACAGAATTTGGTTTTACTTTTATGTTTTATACGGAAGTTTGTATAAATTTTCCCCCTTTAATTTTGGGGTTGCCTTTTGTTTTTCAATTTAGATAATATTTTTTCAGTATTAATTTATTTTTTTGGTGGTATTATATGGCCAGGAAGTTTTACATTTGTTAACGGATAGGCGTTTTTTTTTTTTATGTGCTGTGATGTACTTTTTAAATAAAAAAAAAAAAAAATACGATGGAGCGGTTTTGTCAGATATAGGCAGTTGTAGGGGGTAGGGTGGGGGGAAATGGCCAAAATTTATAAAATTATTGGGGAAATTAAAATATTTTTTTTTTTTTTTTTATATTTTATTTAAAACTCTGTACAAATTTTAAATGGGTCAATATAAAATAAACAAGGACAACATCAGTAAAACATATAAAACCAAAAAATCCGGGGAAACATCTGCGCTACAAACATTTTTTTTAAAACATACAAAATTTTAAAAAAAGGAAAAAATTTAAATAAAAAAGGCCACAAAAGGCTATAAACAAAACTCCAAAAATTAAAAACCTCAACCAAAAATCACCAAGCTTAATGAAAATCCCCCCAAATAAAATTCGAACAAATACCCAACCACAATACCTTATTAAGAAACCTGTGCTGAAACCAGGTGACCCATCATCCCCCCCCCCACCACACAAACACATTGAAAACTAACCCCCCCCAACCCGAATAATCTGACTTAATTATCCCAATTTAGATTATTATGACACATGTATTGGGGAAACTTATTTACAACCCTAAAAGGTACAGACTAAAAAAAGAAAATACCTTAAATAAGAATAATAAAATGGGTTTTTACGTAAAAACGTGGGCCCGTTACAAAAAAGGAAAAAATAACTCATGCTTAAAGGAAAATAGTAAAAGGGAAAAAACCCTCTCAAGAAATTAAAATTTAAATTTCAATACCAGTGAAAAGTGGAACATAATCTCTACCAAAGAAATATACTTTTATATAATTTTTAAGGGGTTTTCATTAAAACATTTTATTATTTATCGCTCCCTTAACCTTCCCTCAAGGAACTAAGCAAACTTTTCTTTCACAACCTCCATTGGTCACAAAAACCCAGTACCTCCCAAACACACCCAAACCCCATCCTGCATTCCCAAGGGGGTGGCCCTTAAATCCCCGACCCCCCCCCCTTTTTCCAACCCATCACCCCGGCAGTTAAAACCCCTTTTTCCCAAAAAAATTCCTTTTTTAGTCCTCAAACCCCCGAAAAAAAACTCTTCCCACCCTTTTCCCAAAAATGTCTTATTCGACACAAAGTTCGATAAAAACGTCGCCCCCAAAGTCCTTCTCGCACATCCCCCCCCCACCCTCCCCCCCTACCCCCTAAAACAATTTTTTTGGGCCACATGGCATATGTTTAAAAACCCTTTCCACCTCTCCCCCACCCACTCATTCAAGATCAACGCCGCAATACCGACACAAACCTTACCCCCCACCCCACCCCTACCTTATCATCCATACCCTTTTCACTCCAAACCTTCACAAAAATAACGCTATACGCGTCTCTTCCCCCACTGTTGCTACACCCCCCACCCCCAATAACCCTCCATCTCGGGGCATGCTCCTGTTGGGAAAAACCCATGCGGAAAAGGGACATAACCCACGCGCCCTAGGTCGTACCTTAATTTATAAAAATTCCCAAATTAATCCCTGCTACATGGGGGGATCCTTCAAACCGCGCCCAACCCTGTCCCTAACAATTTACACAAAGTTCCCACCTTTACTTTTTCCGGTTCCCTGGTAACATTAAGGCATGTAACACGTCTACATTCCCTTTATTTCCCCCCCCCTACCCTTTCCCAGGGGAGCATGTACCCTTTTCACGACCCCTCCCCCCCATCCACCTCACTCTCACTTTCCCTAATAAACACACTTTCAGCGTTCCCCAAGCCAACAAAAACCCCAAACCCCCCCCTACAACCGGGAATGTCAATACCCCCTTCGCAAACCCGTTTTCCCCCTACCCCCAAAAAATTTTAACACCTTCTAAGAAACTCGGATCGCCGTTCTGTTAACGGCATCACGCCCAAACAAACCAACTTTTTTTTTATATAGTAAAACATTGATGACATTGCACGTGCCCAAGGTTAAAAGGGGGGTGCAGCTTTTTCCCAACCTCCCCTGCACCCGTTTCCACCATCCTATTCGAATTGCTAACCCTTGCAGCACCAGGTCAGCTCATACATGACACCGAGATTTTCGACTCCCGGGCCTCCTACTCACATCCCCAAACAAAATTTTCCTTTCCACTCCCCGCCCCCTGATCATTGACTTTTCCCGATTTACCTTTATCCCGTGCTCCAAAAGTGGTACAATTTCCCCCCAAAAGTCCAAACCGTGTCCCTCATTTTTCCCAAAAATAGGGGTACATCAACAACCCCACCAAACCGGGCCCCCGGTTTTCAGCTCACCTTTTCCCCCCCCCCCGTCCTTAACGACCCTTTCCACCATCCTTTTAAAAGGGACCTGAACCATGAAAACAATTTTTTGTGATAAAGGACCCCCTGCGAAGACCCCCTCCATGTTGCCCTCCCCCCCCCCCCCCCCATTATTTTTTCCCTTTCCCTTCGCGTTTATAAAAACTACCAAACCCCCCCCACTATTTCTTGGGCCAAAAACCCCGGTCGTGGGGAAAATTTTCCCCCAAAAGGCCTTTCTTTCCACCCTTCATACCCCTGCCAACCCAAAACGCCCCCAAACCCCCCTTTTCCCCCCTTTTCCCAGGGTTCCCCGGGAAACCCCTTTAAATAATCCCGTGGCCCCCCCTCATTGACCTACCAGGTAAACCAACTGAGACCAAACACTACCCTCCCCAAAACACATTTAACCCGTTTCCCAAAAAATTTTCGCAAAAAATTTTAAAAAATCAGCCCCAAACCCCAAAAGGGAAAGGGCCGGGTAACCCCGAATTTTTATCTGTGTTTCCCCCTTTTGGGCCCAAAACCACCACTACCCCCCCGTTGGCCTGGATTCTCCCATTTTTCCCTCTTTCATGGCTTTTCATTTTCCTTACTGGGAAAACCCCCAAAAGCAGCCCCCAGTGCTGAAATTTTAAAATTCGGCTGGGAAAAACCCATCGACCCGGGTCCCCTTTCCTTTTCCTCATGTCCAAAAGGGCTTCCATATTTCCCCCTCCTCAATGACCCCACCCCTCCCTCCCGATCATCCCCCCCCATTTGCATGGCAATACTCAAAACCCTTTCCCCAAAGAACCTTACATCCCCCCCACTATTTTTCCCGTACCCAAAAAACCATCTATCTCCCTTTTCCCACTCATTCCCTTGGTGTCCCTTTAATACCTGCCCCTCCCCTAAAAACCCCCCACAGAAAAATATGACTTTTCAAAACCCCGGTTTTTTAGTCGTTCGCTGTCGTTTCCCCCCTTTGTCCTCGCAGCACACAAACGGGTGGGGTTTTCGCCCCGGGGTACTTTTGTCCCCAAACCCCGCCTGTACCCCTACAGCTTCAAAACGTTCTTCCCGGGAATCCCCTAAATTTTGTCCTTTAAACAGTGTAAATTTCCCCACCGGGGACACCCCGGGCCCCCGCCCCCCCCCCCCCGATCAATTCCCTAAAACTTGTTTTTAAGTAATTTTACAAAACCTTCCGAATTGATTAATGGGGTTTGCCCCCCCTCACATAAAATTACGTTTAAACGTACTTGCCACACTATCCCACCCTCCCACCACATCGTCCTCACCCCCTGTCGGGGCCCGAGCTGTTCCCAAAAGGCAAAAGCTTCCACTCCCCCCTTTCCCCCCAAAACCCCGTGTTAGTTTCCAAAACTTCCCCGCCCACGAGCCAAAGCATCCATCCCCCCTCCCCTAAAAACCGCCTATGTTTGGAAGACACCATCTCAATTTGGGTTTTTAAAAAAACAACCCAAAAACCCCCTTAGGAAAAAATAAAACCTGTCCAAAAAGCCGCATACCCCTTTTTATAAAAAGTAGGGTTTACCCCAAAGACCTCCCCCCAAAGCACACGGAACTGAAGATCTAAGCAGGCCCCCCCCGACTGTGGAAAAAAATCCCCCTCCTCTGGGTTCCCGTGTCCTCTTTTAATTTCCCAATTCCAATCCCCCCCCCAACGCCACCCGGGCGGGA